AAGGACGATAGTTCTGCCTCCTGCTCTAGAATGCTGGGATTAGAGGTGTGTGCCAACATGCCAGGTTTTATGCAGTGCTGGGATCAAACCCAGGGCTTTGTGTGTACTCAGCCAAGCACTCTGCCAACTGAGACATTATATCTCAACCCCAGGTTTATTTCACTATTGTGTACCCCTTTGTATTACAATCTGTAGTGGTTTGAAAGAAAATGGCCCCCATAGGCTCACAAGGAGTGGCACTATTAAGAGGTGTGGCCTTGCTGGAGCACATGTGGCCCTGTTGGAGGAAATGTGTCTCTGGCAACAGGCTTTGAGGTCTCAGATGCTCAAGCCAGGCCAGCGGCTCACATTCTCTTCCTGATATCTGCAGATCCAGATGTAGAACTCTCAGCTGCCTCTCCAGCACCATGTCTTCATGTGCACCATGCTTCCCGCCATGATACTGCACTACACCTCTGAACTGTAAGCCAGCCCCAATTAAATGTTTTCCTTTATAAGAGTTGCTGTGGTCATAGTGTCTCTTCACAGCAATAAAACCCTAACTAAGAATCTGAATATAAATAAAATGGATTTTGGTCATCTTGATTCTTGGGATATGGGGCTGTGGATTCCATATGGGGCTGTGGAATATCATGTTCCACCCTAAATCCCGGTCCTCACTCTGTGACTTGGGATTCCCTCTCCACCACGGTGCGGCTTCTATTGCTCTCATCTGGCCTGATGAGCCCCAGTGGCTTCTACTGCTGTTTCCTGACTGACGCTCTCCAACATGTGACCTTATCCTCATTCTACTGAGTCCTGGCGTTCAGAGGGCTCGGAGACAGTAAATGCAGATGGTCTCAGGTCTGCGACATAGGTGTGGGAGGTCAGAGGCTCAGGGGGGTCAGGAAAGCTGGTTCTAAAGGGGAGCCTAACAGCAAAAAACCCTGGCTCTGCCGCCAACATGTCTGACCCAACACAAGCCATTCAAATCCTCTTTGCCTCAATTTTTCCTACTATAAACAGCAAAACAACAACGACACCCTCTCACCGAGCTGCCCTGAGGAGATTACACACACAGAGAAAGCATCTGGCATGGGGCCCAGCAGCTAGTAAACAAGCACACAGCTACATCCTTTATCAATCCAGCTGTCAGTTCAGAAATGACCTCTGCTGTGGTTCAGTCCAGAGATAATTCAGCTGTTCTGTCCCAGAGACCAGGGACTGGAAGGAAAAAGGCAAAAAGGCAGCTTCCTCAGGGGAGTGGTAGCTGTTTGCAGACATGCTGGGATCTGGCGGGGGTCAGGGAGACATTTTCAGGGATGGTGTGACAGGGAACAGGGTGGAGGGCAGTTTCTTCCCGTAAGCTGAGGGAAGGAAGTGAAGATTGGGGGCTGAAAACCTAGAATGAAGTTGAGCAAGAAACAGGGGTTCAGGAGATACTCGGATCCCCGGAGTAGCCCCCACATCTCAGGCCGTTCCTCTTGTCCCTCAGCCCGGTCCTGCTGGACCACTGCTCTGCCTAGGCTTCAGGAAACAGCAGCTGTAGGCAGTCTCCATCCTTTCCTCTCTGCATTTCACTACGGTCACCCCACAGGCATATCTACAGAAGTCAGCCACAAACTCAGCCATAGTTCCAGGCAGGCATCAGCTTTCAAGAACAGTCATTATCAAGCCGGGCGGTGGTGACACACACCTTTCATCCCAGCACTTGAGAGGCAGAGGCAGGTGGATCTCTGTGAGTTCAAGGCCAGCCTGGTGTACCAAGAGAGTTTCAAGACAGCCAGGACAGGGTTGTTACACAGGGAAACGCAGCCCTTACCAGTAATTCAAGAGAGCAGCAGGCCTTAACCCTGCATCCCTGCACTGTCTGAAACACGAAGGGAAAAGAGTAGAATGTACCATCCAACAGTCTAACTACAGTCTAGCTGGGAGCCCGCTCTGTGAGCCAGAAGATCCGGCACTCTAAGCGTCTTCTCATCTTGGGGTCCCCTGCTCACTGGGACAGCTGAGCCCTGGCCTCCTATCTGCTAAGCACACAGGAAGCCTGAACAAGCACCTCTTGTCTGCTTTGTGCACATCCAGATGATGCTGGGCTCAGCACCTTCTGAGGGCCCTTGTGGCCAAAGTGATAAGAAAAAGACTTATCAATGCAAAATGGCTCTGGGTAGCACTGCAGACATAGTGATACCAAGACAGCCAAAATCCTGTAGGAGCGGGCTGGCTGCCTGGAGGAAGAGTCATCATGCTACTTCTGCTCTGGGCAAGCATCTGCAGACATTTCAAACAGGAGGTCCTGTTTTCCAACATCAAAATCTTCTGGGGAACAAACTGCTGAAGAGTGGGGAAGGAAGGGTTATTACTGAAACACACCCTGCAGTTTAGGGGATGTTAACTTTCTCTAAAATGAGAAAACTAACATCAGAAGCCAGGCAGTGGTAGTGCACACATTTAATTCTAGCACCCAGGAGGTGGAGGCAGGCAGATCTCTGAGTTCAAGGCCAGCCTGGTCTACAGAGCAAGTTCCAAGGCAGCCAGGGCTACAGAGCAAAACATCTCAAAAAACGGGGAAGAGAAAGAGAGAGGGGGGTGGAGAATCTAACATCAGAATTTCTTCTCTTATTACCTGCTTTTTAAGGCTTTCTAAAATTTATTTATTTTCATTTTATTTGCGTTGGTGTTTTGCCTGCATGCATGTGTGAGGGTGTCAGATCCTGGAACTACAGACAACAGTTGTTAGCTGCCATGAGCATGCTGGGAGTTGAACCTGGGTCCTCTGGAAGATCAGTCAGTGCTCTTAACCGTTAAGCCCCTCCCCCCACACTTTCGGGACTCTTTAATGAAATAATGACAGGTATGATAGCTCATGCTTATAATTTTAGCATTGGGGAAGTTGAGGCAGGAAGATTGCTGTGTATTTGTGGTCAGTTTTGGCTACAAAGTGATATCTGTCTCAAAAACCAGACAGACAGACAGACAGACACAAACCTACACAACAGCTCTGTTCCCCCAGCATTTCAGAGATGTGCCAACTCTTGCTTAGCATGATCTATTACAAATTAACGGTGACCACGACTTCCTTTTACATTCACCAGCACCGACAACCAGACTGGCTTTACCTATAATGACTTCTCAAGAGAACACAGGCTACATAAAGAGTTCTTCTTCAGAAGCCCTGAAGACAGAATAGGTTTACTATCTACTTAGAAGCCTTAAGAATTCCTAGCACTTGGGAAGTTGAGGCAAGAGATCTCAAGTTAGAGGCCTGCCTGGACTACAGAGCAGGCCCCTGACTCAAAAACAAGCCCACTACCATGCCAACTGCAGTAAGGTTAACTCCCAAATCATAGTTTGATGTTTCAGTAAGGCAGACTGACTGCTCTGATGATGGAAGTTGGTCGAGTTTCTGACTTATTTTAAGGCAGACTTCACAGCATGCTGTCAGGTCACAGGTCAGAGATGACAGACAAGGGCAGATAGGGAAGGTGGCACCAGCAGAGCCTGACTCCCCTAAACTTTGAAATCTGAAGTTTCAGAAGCAGAAACCTAGGTTCTTACCCCAGCCCCTCATAGTCTGGGCACACCCAGCTGCCCAGGTCTCCAAGCTCCTCCATGCACACTCTGCTCTGTACCCCCCACTCAAGAATATATTTTAAACCTGAGTTTGGTGGCTCACACCTGTAATCCCACACTCAGAAGATGGACAAAAGGATCAGGAGTTCAAGGTCATCCCCAGCTACATAGTGAGTTTGAGGTCAGCCTGGACTACATTAAACCTGTCTCAATAAAACACAGAGGAGGGGGCTGGAGAGATGGCTCAATGATTAAGAAGAGTACCAACTGCTCTTTGAGAGGACCTGGGTTGAATTCCTAGCACCCACATGGCAGCTCACAACTGTCTGTAACTCCAGTTCCAGGGGATCCGACATCCTCACAGAGGCATAACACCAATGCACATAAAATAAAAATAAACAGTTTATTAAAAAATAAATAAAACACAGGGGTAAAAAGCCTTACAAAATAGCCAAGAAGAAAGGGACTTTTTCCATTAAAACCCACAACAACCATAGTAAAGTGTGTCTTCTTATACCTAAGGACTCCACACCCTCCTAACTTCTGTAGATGGCAGATCCATGTGCCCCTGCTCCATAAACACCCTTCTCCAAGCCCAATCTCTCCCAAAGAGAGTAATTTGTACAGCAAGGGACTCAGCAAACAACTTGGGGTCCTGCCTGTTTCACGAGTTGTAGGACAAGGCCCTTCCCTTTGCAAACCCCCCATGCCTCTTTCCATTTCATCCCTAATTCAAATATTTTCCTGCCCACTAAGCAGGGAATCCCAGCAGGAGCAGGACTCCATGTGTCTGTTCCCAAGGCAATCCCACAGAAGGAGGGCATAATCCATAGTCACAGAAGGAATGTAGATCTAGAAAACCCTCAGGACTCTCTAGATCTCAGTAGATCTTTGCTCCAAACATCCCTCCAGTGACTGCTAAAAATGGGGAGTTACAGAATATTTTCATTTCGACTCAGCCAATTCTGATTTCTTTTAAAAAAAAGTCATTCATTGATTCGTTGGAGTTACTGTCTAGTTTCTTTATGCTGTGGCCAATGCCTGGTACTGACCAATTAGGGAGGTGACAGCTAGCATGAGGTACACAGTGCTCAGCTTCATGTGAAATATTGCTGGTTGCTTGATACTGTGTAGCCCTAGTGATGTTTTTAAAAACATTATAAACGTATAATACAAAGTAGACATGGTTCTGGCAAAAACTTTTTTCTTAAAGGAGTAAACTCCAGTTTATTTAGACAATGCCCCAAAGCAGACGCTGCCAACAAGCTGGTGGGGGCCGATCTAAAAATTCTGGTAACCGGCTCTACTGACCTCACTCGGTGAGCGCCCGCCAGTTAAGAAAAGGCACCCATAGCCTTCCAACAGGTGTCTGCAGATCTGAACGCCCTTGTCGAGGCCGAGGTCAGGCCGGGGCCCACCGCAGCCCACTGGTCCCCCAGGGTTCCTACCTGACAGCCTCCCGCGCTCAGGGCGCACCAGCCCCAGGAGCTTCCACACTTCTGAGCCCCGGGTCGCCGCGGGCCGCTGCCGCGAGTCGTTCCCAAGGTCTCGCACATTGGCGGCGGCTGCCGGGACTCCCTGGAACCTGGCGAACAGGGGATGTGAGCCGCGGGGTCCTGCCAGTATCCAGCACCTGCGGGCCCCTGAGGACGTGGCCCACCGCCCCACGCCACCGGGCAGTCGGGAGAGGGGCGCGGGAAAGCGGAGGCCCGGGGTCGGCTCATGGATTAGGGACGTCCAAGCGCGCACGAGCGGGTTCCACTCAGAAGCCAGCCATGTCCTAGAGGAGACGGCCGGGGCCCACGCACGCACGGCAGGGCCCCGGCGCGTAATCAGCAGCAGCGCCCTGGCAGGGGGGCTGCGCATGGCGCTGCGTCTGCCTGGAGAACCTCACCCGCCGGCCCGGCCGCACGCCCCGGGACCCTCCCGGCCCGGCCCTAGCGCAGGGCGGGGACGCAGCAGCGACCCGCCCCTCCCGCCCCATCGGGCGGGCGCCCGGGCCGCGCCTTCCGCCGCGCAGGGACCACCCCTGGGCGGCGACCAGCCAGCTGGTGGCTCCAGAGCAATGCCTTGTCTAAGCGGCAGTAGCAAGCGCCTGCGCCCGCGAGCTGCACGCGGAAGATTTTTCGCGCTCTAGAGCCCTTCGTTTGCGAACCCCGGAGCGTCCGAGCCCTTTCTCTCGCCGGAGACAGGCGGAGTGCGCACGCGCGGTGCTCAGGTCGCTGACTACAGACCAAGGCTGAGACCATTGGGTGCAGGATGGTACCTAGTGGCTCAGTTCTTGGGCCGCTGTGGTGCGGTTGGTGGACAGTGAAGTCTCCACACCTTGGAGGACTGAGCAATGTAGGAGGTTCCGCAGAGGCCGGGACTCCGGAGCTGCACCGCGTAGAGGCCCAGAGAGCAAAAGTGGCCTCGCCTGCAGTGGTCTTAAGGAGAGCGGCGGGGGTGGGGGTGGGAACCGTATGGAGGCTCAGGGTGAGAAAAGGGGAGAGTGTGCTGGACCAGAACGAAATGCAAGAGAGAGGCACTCGCCATTGGTTAAAAATGTATGAGTTCAGCCGGACGTAGTGGCGCACGCCTTTATTCCCAGCACTTGGGAGGCATAAGCAGGCGGATCTATGAGTTCGAGGACAGTCTGGTCTATACAGTGAGTTGCAGGACAGCCCGAGGGACATATTGAGACCTTGTCTCATAGAAAAAAAAGATAATAATAAAAATTTTAAAGATGGGTTCACAAAACAACCTCAAAATAAGTACTGTAGTTCAATAGTCCTAAAAACCAACACGAAAGCGGGGGCGGAGAAAGACCTTAAGGAACACAACATCAGACTTTCAAACGCAGAACCTGTCTCTGAATTTGCAGGATTCTTCCTCTTTTTACCCCAATCCCAACCCTGGAAACGTCACTTATTAAACTAGGGAGTGGGGGAGATGATACAGCTCAGCTGATAGAGCATTCCCTTCACATCACCAGGTCACCTGAGTTCAGACAAATACAGAAAAAAACCCAAAATCAAGCAGGTGGCGGCTGGCTGGAGTTTTCTTCTCTCTCTCTCTCTCTCTCTCTCTCTCTCTCTCTCTCTCTCTCTCTCTCTCTCTCTCTCTCTCTTCTCTCTTTCTTTTTCTTTTTCTTTTTCTTTTTTTTCCTCTCTTAGAAAATTTTCATGTTTGGCCTAGACATATTGGGTATGCCTTTAATCTCAGCACCCAGGAGGCGAGACAGGTAAATCCCTTTGAGTTCCAGGCCAGTGGTCTACATAGTGAGTTCCAGGATAGCCATGGCTACATAGGAAAACCCTGTCTCAAAACAAACAAAAAACCCAAAAACCCAACAAAATATTGATATAAACCATTTCCATATTTGTCTGGATTCCTGAGAATCCAGAATTTTAGCTTCTTTTATGTTTTCACTCTCAAACAAGAAGGACCCCACCTACACCTGGAAGTTATGAGGTGGAGAGGGATGAGCAGCAATGTGAGTGAGGTTAACCCCGCCTTTTACAAGTTGGGGGAGTGGGAAGCAGGCATGTCCTTCTTTAAAATCCAGCTCTGAAGCCCAGTGAGACTTGAGTTTTCTTAAGTGGCCTCCCCATCAGTGCAGAAATTCTAAACTCCAGGGTGTCACAGTGTGAACTGCACTCCACTGGCTCATGAGGACTCAGGTCCCTTTCCATGCCCCACAGAGTACCTCCTTCTCTTTTTGGAACCTAGCTGAACGGTGTCAAGGAATGAATATTGTACAGGCTGGCAAAAGTAACCACTTTTTTTTTTTTAAAGATTTATTTATTATGTATACAGCATGTATGACTGCAGGCCAGAAGAGGGCACCAGCTCTCATTATAGATGGTTGTGAGCCACCATGTGGTTGCTGGGAATTGAACTCAGGACTTCTGGAAGAGCTCTTAACCTCTGAGCCATCTCTCCAGCCCCCAAGTAATCACTTTTTAAAAACTGTTATTATTTTATGTGTATGAGTGTTTTGCTTGCATGTATGTCTGTGTACCACATTCACCTGGGAAGGGTGTGGGATCTCTGGGAACTGGGGTTACAGATGGTGATGATATACATGCTGGGAATTGAACCCTGGTCCTCCAGAAGAGCAGCAGTGCTCGTAACCACAGAGCCATCTCTCCAGCCTGAGATTAACCATTTTAAGCCAAATCTAAGCTTCCTCTTACTTCTTTCTTCTCTTTCCCTCTCCAGAACACACTTGTTGCTGTGAAGGCCAGAATCGAGGAACTGTATCCTCTTTCCTAGCCTGATCCCCTCAGTCAGTACTGTCTGGAGCTGAGTCAACAGAAAAAATAAAAGCAGCTGATTAGACAGAGCTAAACACCACAAGGTTTTCTGTTTGTAGGGTTTTGGGGGCGGGACGGGGCAGGGGAGGTATCAATACAGTTTTGATGTGGCCCTAGCTGCCCTAGAATTCAGCATATAAAGCAAGATGACGGTGAAATTCAAATAATCCTCCTACTTCTGTCTTCCAGGTTCGGGGATTACAGGTAATGCCACCCTGGAGGCTGAAACAGGAAGATCACCATGAGTTCAGAGCCAATCTGGTGCTGGGTGGCAGTGGCGCACACCTTTAATCCCAACACTTGGGAGGCAGAGCCAGGCAGATCTCTGTGAGTTTGAGGCCAGCCTGGTCTACAGAGTGAGATCCAGGACAGGCACCAAAGCTACACAGAGAAACCCTGTCTCGAAAAACAAACCAAACCAAACCAAACAAACAAACAAAAAAAGCCAATCTGACTACATATAGAATGCCAGGCCACGTAGACTCATTGTAAGACCCTGTCTCAAACAAACAAACAAACAAACAAACAAACAAACAAGCAAAAAAGAAATGAGGGCCAATGAAATGGCTCAGTAAATAAAGGTGCATGCTGCTGAGCCTGGGTTGGATTCTCAGAACACACTTGGTGGAAGAAGACTGACTCCAACAGGTCGTTCTCTGACCTATGTAGGTGTGCTAAGGCATACTAATGCACACACAACTACACACACACACACACACACACACACACACACACACACACTAAAAAATAATTAAATGAATGAAAAATTAAAAATCAGGGAAATAATCTGAAAATAATTATCCCCCCCCCCAAATATAGTACACTTGAACATACACAGTGAGACCTTGTGGATGGGAAGAAGAAATGAAAGACATGGATTACCCCAGAAATTAGGACAATCTCATTGGCTTCTATAAAAGCACAAGGAATGCTCTAAAGTATGCTGGCAAGGAAAGAGGCAGGCTACTTAGAAGTGGGTGAGTCACCAGCACAAAATCCCCCAACACTCGGGAAGCAGAGGCCAGTGGGTTTGGTTTCTATGGGCCCAAGAACAGCCTGGTTTATACATCATGTTCCAGGCCAGACAGAGCTATACAGTGAGACCCTGACTTGAAAAAAGCAAACAAACAAAATAGTACAGAATCCCCCAAGCAACAAAGGGAAAGGCTTAGCAATGCTGGGATCAAATGGAGGTTCAAGTCCTACCCACCAGACAGAAAGAGCCCTGGGTGGAGGTGTGACTGGTGGAGGAGTTCTGGCCTTAGGTGAACAAAACCTTAATAGGCTTAGTGGTTCACGGGTGTCAAATTCTAAAGTGATCTCTAGAGGAAACTTGAGAGCAGTCCTACCTGCTGGGGCTAGTATATTCAGAGGACAACAGAGCAAATATATAGGGTACAGTGGGAGCAGAAGTAAACAATGTCCTGGCTTGCAATCCAGGAAATGCAGGAGAGCTCTGACCAGACCTGTAGCTTGTATTTGGAGCTTGAGTGGCAAGAAGGTTGATGCCCGGAGACGAATTATGTAGCGAGTGGCCACAATGTCATAGAACCCAGTCTAGTAGAAGTAAGAAATTGCCTTGAAGCTTCTGGTGACTCTACACTCCGCTTTCTGAGAACGCTGCAGCTAGAGCCTCAGGAAGACAGGGCAGCAAAGTTCGCTGCAGCATCTCAGAAGAGTCCAAAAAAAAGGGGTTGGTCCCTTCAAATGGCCGGGTTGAAATGCCAACTCCCAGTCCAGAGCCTTGTCTGGAAACTAGGGATGGCAGATGCAGCTCACTGAAGAGGAGACAAATGAGAAATGAACCCTCCCTCCCTCCATAGCCGGAGCATGGGGGAGTGGTGCTCATTAGTGGTCAACCTGCCAGGTCCTCACCCTGTGATAGGAACGGCAGAGAGTCATGCAGCTGCAAGCCACGGGGGAACAGTCCGCCAGCAAGCCATGTAAAGCTGTGAGGAGACAGGAAAGATTACCCTGTGATGCTGAATGCCAGACATCTCTCCTCCAGAATCCTGAGATAACAGCCTTGTGTATTAAGACACTAAATCTGTGGTACATCATTATGGCAATGCCAGCTGACTTACTTAAAACACAACATAACCTGTCATCCCAACTGCTTGAGAGGCAGAGATGGAAGGACGGCTTGAAAGACCTTGTCTAAAATACACATATAAAATAAGTTGTCACAGTGGCTCACACCTGTAATTCTAGAACTTGGGAGGCTGAGGCAGAAATGTGATGGATTTCAGTCCAGCCTGGGCTACAGAGGTGGGAGGGACCTCTGTTTCAAACATAAAAACAACAACAAAAAAGCCAGGCATAATGTCATACGTCTTTGATCCCAGCACTCCTAGCACTTAGACAGAGCTCCGTAAGTTCAAGGCCAGCCTGGTCTACAATGTAAGTTCCAGGCCTGCTAAGTCTACACAGTGAGACTGTGTCTCAAAACAGTACCAACAAAACAATAATAAATAAAATAAGACAGTGAACCTAATTCTATAGGTTTACAATATTTAGATACAGTATTTTTTTTAAGAGCCTGGGGTTAGATTCATATAAAAGGAAAAATTATACAGAGCTAGATAGCTCAGCAGTTAAAAGGCTGCTACTCAATGGGCATGGTGGCACATGCCTTTAATTCCAGGACTCTGGAAACAGAGGTAG